CCAGCCCTCAATTCTCTGCCCCCAACCACCAAGTCCATACCACCATCCACAAATGCCTCTGTCCTGTCTAGTTTCCACCTGTCACCCCTTTTCATTTCATCATCTCCTGGCGCCAACTAAGTAACTTAACTGCCATTTGCAAATGTCACTTACTCTATAGTATAGACTCTATACATTTGGCTTCAGAAAATTCCTTTTCTCTTTTATCTTCTGCCACATCCACAGTCCCTAGGCCAGTGATGGCGAACCTTTTGAGCTCGGCGTGCCAGCATTTTGAAAAACCCTAACTTAACTCTGGTGCCGTGTCACATACAGAAATTTTTTGATATTTGCAACCGTAGTAAAACAAAGACTTATATTTTTGATATTTATTTTATATATTTAAATGCCATTTAACAAAGAAAAATCAACCAAAAAAATGAGTTCGCGTGTCACCTCTGACACGCGTGTCATAGGTTCGCCATCACTGCCCTAGGCTCTCCATCTTCCACCTGTATATTCAGCTGCTAGACCTGTCCGGCACTAGAAATGCCTTTAAAGCTCCCTTTCCCTTTTCAGGACCCAAGATCCTCTTTCCAGTCTCTAGATCTGCTCCTGGTCTCATCCCTACAGCCATGTACATGCGTGAATGACTCATTTTTCATTATCCTCCCAGCACCCATGAAGCGACTCAGTCCCGCCAGCCAGCCCAGTCCAGTCCTGCAGGTACAGGAAGATGGAGATAACCTCATCCCCTTTGCCAAGTGAGTCGTCCCCACCCAGTGGGGAGAATGGGGACAGGATGGAGGGAAGATTGCACACCTGGGCTCTTTCCTAAGAAGAGTCGGGAATAAGGACCGAGAAGCTCAATGCCTGGGCTCAGGGGATTGATGACTCATTCATTTATTCAACAAATAATTTTTGAACACTGCATTGTTCTAGGCCAGCGGTTCTCAACCTTTGGGGGTCTAACGACCCTTTCACAGGGGTCGCCTAAGACTATTGGGAAACACATATATAATTACATACTGTTTTTGTGATTAATCACTATGCTTTAATTATGTTCAATTTGTAACAATGAAATTGGGGGTCACCACAACATGAGGAACTGTATTAAAGGGTCGCGGCATTAGGAAGGTTGAGAACCACTGAGCCAAACCAGTTAGGGCAATCAGTGGAAGTTTTTAAGCAAGGAAATGACTACAGGCTTTTTTTTTTTCTTCAACTTTTTTATTACAGAAAATTTCAAACAAATACAGAAGTAGAGAAGGCAGCATTAATGAACTCGGTGTACCCTTTTCAGTCAGCTTTAATAACTGTCATTACATGGATAATCATCTTATCTGTATACTTAGCCAACCTCCTACTACTCAGATTATTTTGAAGTAAATCTCAAATTATACATCATTTCACATGATCACTTTTAAAAGATCACTCAAGCTGTTCTGTGAAGAGTAGCATGTAGGAGATTAGATAGAAAGAGGGAGAGGAGGAAGAGACCATTGCAATAGTCCAGGCAGCCGTAGCCAGAAGATGAGCTGGAATATGGAGACGGGAG